GGGTCCGCTCGTACCACCCGTTTGCCGTTGACGATCTGATCATGCTCCAAAGCCGAGTGTACTCCAGAGCGAGCAAAGATGCCTTCCATGATGCGTGATTCTGAATTAACGGCTCCTGTCCCTTTCTCCTGATCGCTGGGCTGCTCCGACTCGCCCTGATATTTCTCCATGGACGAGACGCCCACTACTTTGCTGATGTCGTTCTTTTCTGCTTGCAGGTCAGATGAGGCGTCCTGGGCTTTGGTCGATTGTTGATTATTGCCGTCACCGTCTCCCTGGAATGTAACCTCAGCTCCTTGAAAGAGCTTGCTCGTCTCCGTGGCACCTGGCTTTTCGTCGCCGAGCGCGAATAGGTCATACAAATCGCTCAACTGAAAGGAGGTCTGGCGCTGTTTGGGGTCTCTGAGAATCTTATTGGTAAGGAACTGTTTGAAGATCTGTCGATGATATATCTTCTCCTCAATTGTTCCAGCGGTCATTAAACGGTAGACACTGACCTCACGCTTCTGACCAAGTCGCCATGCTCGCTCTCGGGCCTGCACGTCTGTCGATGGGTTCCAATCTGGATCATAGATGATGACCCTGTCCGCGCCCGTAAGATTCACTCCCAAACCTCCAACCTTTGTCGTGAGCAGAAAGACATGCAGACTCGGGTCATTATTAAACTCGTCAACCATGGTTTGCCGATTCTGTATGGGCGTGGTGCCGTCCATTCGCCGATATTTGAACCCAGACAGTGACTTGACAAACTTTTCAAGGATATCCAGCATGATTCGATGCTGAGCAAATAGCAGGGTTTTATGGCCAGTATCTCTCCACAACTCCAATAGAGATTTGACAACCTGCATCTTGCCAGACTTGTTCGCATTTCCATAGCCTGGTTGATGCGATTGCAGTTTATGATTCTGCAAATCTGGGTGATTGCATATTTTGCGCAATATATCAACTCCATATAGAAGCTGCCTGCGCCCCTTGAGAATGGACTCCATTTCTTCGGATTTTAAAAATGATTCATAGGCCATCCTCTGCGGCTTGGTCAACTTGCAAAAGAGCACCTGCTCGGTCTTTTTGGGCAAATCCGCAGCCACATCGATCTTGAAGCGCTGCAGAAGATATGGGCTGATGGCATCCTTGAGCGTTTCTGCACACTTGGCAGCTGTCTGCACCTGGAGATTAGAAGCATTCGCATATCCGCCCTGTCTGATAGGGAATTCGAATTGGTTCCGAAAGTTGACTAACGTTCCAAGGCGCATTGGGAACACAAAGTCGAAAAGCGACCAAAGCTCGGTCAAGTTATTCTGCATAGGGGTACCCGAGAGAATGATCCTGTGCGGAGTCCTAAGCTCCTTGCAATGGATGGTAATAGAAGTGTTCGGGTTCCGAATCTTATGACCTTCATCAAGAATCGCACACCCCCATTCCACAGGGATCAGCAAATGAGAGTATGTTTGTAACCCTGAATAGGTAGTGACCAGAACGTGACCTTCTTCCACCACACGCTTAACAACCTTCCTAGCTGCCTTCTGGTTGCTGGTGAATCCTCGCGGACTGGAAGAATAAGTCTGAGATAGGAGAGCATCCTCCCTGCTGCTCTCACTCCGGATATTGACCATGCCACTCCCGGACGTGTGCAAGATGGACACACGAAAAGGTGGCCACCAGCGATGGAATTCGTTGACCCACTGCTTCATAACTGTAGCAGGGCATACCACAATCACAGGGCCGTCCAGTTTCTTGCTGTAATGCAGTCCAGCTAGGAAAGCTATTGTTTGAATTGTCTTCCCCAGCCCCATCTCGTCACCGATGATTCCTCCCACTTTCTGCTGGTATAGCTCCCATAGCCATTGTACCCCGGTTTTCTGGTAGTCGAACAAGTAAGGGTTGAGATCCCCAGGCAAGCGATATCCATTGTCATAAGCCACGTCTGGTACCGTAGGATGAGGAAGAAACCATTCATCCTCTTCAGTCGAGCCCTCCTCATCAATGGTATTCTCATGCTCTTCCTTTGCTTGCAGCGCCTTGGAAGCACGCTTTCGAGCGGCGCTTCTCCGGCTCACCCAACTTTGTAGTCTCGATTGATAAAGTCTCTCGTTGCCGTCGTCCAATCCGCTGAAATCTTCAATTTCGTCACTGGGTTTCTTCCCTTTCTTGTGAGCTGCAGGTCGCTCTGGCTTTCCATCCGGGTAAAATTCTTCTTCGTCCTCCAGCAATGATTCTTGTTCTTCAGACGCCACATAATCTGCCGACTCGTCATTATCTTCAGAAAGCTCATTTTCTTCATCTGCTGCCATGGAATCAGACTCCTCTTGCTTGAGAAGTGTCTTCTTCCGGCGTGAGCCACCCTCTAGCTTTCGTCTCTTGCTTGGTCGAGTTTGTGCGACACCTGTATCGGTACTCTCATCGTCAAAGTCGAATCCGGGTCGGACGAGATTCCTGTGCGAAACAGCTGAGCGATCTTTCAGTTGCTCCAATGCCTCATTCTCATCACGCTCATCCTCAGCATCGATAAGAGCGTCATGAAGGCTGGCAAGAGGACCCTCATTCGGACCTGCACCCATTCTAGAAAAAGGCGTTATCTTCCCGGTTCGGATGAGATAATCTCTACGAGATTCATTTGGCAGGCGCCCTGTCCCGGTTGCCTGAGTACCTGTTTCGAGACCCTCATGTCTGTCGTCAATACGTTGTTGGATTTCTTTCAAGTCATTCTCTAGCGAGGCGTTGCGAGAGTCTAGATTGCTCAACTCGTTCTCTAACCGGACTCGAGCAGACGTGCCCACTGGCTGCGACAGACGCTGATGAAGTTTAAGAATCTGGGCCTCGAGTTTCCTAATCATTCAGGTATCAGCATCTGAGCCTAGACGTCAATTTTATGACAGAAGACATACTCTTTTTCAAGGGTGGTCCTCTCCAATCTCTTTTTGTCTCGTTCGTCGGCTTGCTCCACGAGCAACCTGTCGGCCTGGAAAAGTCAGAATAGAAAGCACTTCGTATAAGGAAATTGGGTCCGGTACCTGACGAGATATGTCCCTTTCAAGGTCATCCTGATCACGTATATCGGCCTGGAGCTCTCGTAGACGGCTTACTTCATCGGTCACTGCAGAGGGATCTTCTTGCTGCTTTGAGGTAGCCACCGTCGCTACTTCAGCGGTATTCGAAGCATCTAATCCCTCGGTCTCGGTCCTTTGAGGTGTCTCGACCACTTCAATTCCAGCGGAACCATCACCCTCATTCTTCACGCTGTGACCCATGACTGAAGCACGACGGAAATGCCAAGGATGCAAGGATGGCTATGACAATCCAACAGCTGTTACACCCTGCAGGTCAACACCTTCACCCAACAAATGATAGGTTTTCACGATGACGGAGCAGTGCAGCTCAAGAAAACACCACCGTCATTTTCTGTAACGGGTGGCGCTGTCAAGGAACTATGAGTGATATCCAGGCGGCGACGGACTCGACTTCAGTCAAGCGGCGCGCTCAGTACGGTTCAAGTCCAAATCAACCTTCTCATATGCGAATATCATAAGACAATCCGGAAAGCTAACAGAATATGAAGGCTCGCCTAAAATAATGATCGTAAAAGGCGAGCACAAAAGGCAAAACCGCTGTATCCCCTCAGTGGTATCTACGGCAGAAAGATTTCGCCCACTGCCGCCTAGCCTGACCGCCTTCGGCGCACGTGCCCCCAGTCACGTCACTCCCTTGAGCCTTGGCAGTGGTTCTTCCAGCCCTGTTTTCTCTTCAGCCAGCTTTGGGCATTGGTAGGACCTTATGAGCAGAGAGTACAGTGACATGGTTCCAGCTCCTTTCCGGAGGCAATCCTAATGAAGGACGATCATTTGCCGAATTGCCAGACCACTCTTGTCTCGAAACTCGGGCCGTACAACGAACTCATGAAGCCGTCCGCCTTACGGAGTAGGTTCAGCTAATTCCTGCAAGCGGCGAAAGCAACCATATCCCACAAAAGTGCCAAACAAGACATTATTCTCTAGGCTACGGAGTAGATGGTTGCAGGGATGAGTTCAGTTCCTCAACATGCCAACTTTATGAATGGGATCTCCTACTAGACCACTCCTTTTCACAAATATTGCTTCAAATGAGGATGAACTTCTTGTTGTTCTCAAGGGATGACCGTGCCAAAGTGGCTGGCTACTCGCGGCGGACAAGAGGAGGCAGGCAACAATTGTTACTTAGCCTCAATTCGCAGAAAATAACAATTGCAAACGTCAAAATTCAGGAGCAGTGGTAGATACGCCATACTCGTTCACTGTAGAAATAGAAAAACCGAGTTGACAAAAAGTCGTCGATCGACAGTCGTGAGATCAGCAAGCTCTCATTCCCTCTCGTTTTGCCTTTCCCGGCGAAACCCAGAGCCCAATCGCAGCCTGAGGCAGACGCAACGCTGCCCTCGAGATTGAGGCATCATCTATCTCCACCTCCACGACCCTCGCCTTCTTCCTCTCTTTCTAAAACCCCTCCGCAATACTTATCTGCTCCCCGAGCGATTCCCCAGCGGCCATTCGGACTGGACTTTGTTTCCAGATCCTCCACAGTCTTTCTTCCTGACTGGGTACTTTCGCTCTGGAATCTAACACACATCCTCCCCGTCCTCCAGTTATTTACTGCATCCCCTTCCGCGTGTCAGTCAGCTGGCTGCACCGATAGATACTGGCAGCCCGTCGCACCCGCCCCCGTCACTGAGCCTGCGACCGCCCTCGGTGGACAGGACGCTTGGTGGCCATCAATCAACCCTCACCACCGGAGTGATCAGTTGTTTGGATAATGAAGCACTGTATAATTTACGTCTAACGTCAAATATCCCGAACCGCTTCGTCGTCTCCGCCTGATTGCGCTACTTGCGTCTGCCGCCCCCGCTGCTTCCCATCCCCTCGATCGCAGTGCATGTGCGCTGTCAACGGCGACAGACGATCGTCTATACTTGATCGTCAAGTCTCACTCGGGTTCTTTGAGATATTGTGAGGGGAGGTCTCCCGAAGAGGATGGGTTCTCAGTGGCAGCCGTACCAGGACCCCTTGATGGGACGTCCTGCGCAGTTCAACAATGGATTGACGTCTACTCCCCAACAATTAGGCCCCAAGTATGGTGGTCAACTGCAACAGTCTCAGCCGCCCGTGGGATATACCTACGAAGCCTTCCAAACGCCTGGAACAGCAGCGAAACCCCCCTCGGCCGGCGCAAACTCCAAGTCGGTATCTATGGCGTCGTCGCCAGCCGCAACGCCACGTAGCCGCGATTATGTCACCGATGCCGATACCACCATGGAGGATGCGGACCCGTACAACAGGGCGAAGTACTCTGCGCGACCGAATCAACAGAGTCGACCATCGTCTCAATTCTTCTCTCCTGAGGAGTCCTCGGCTGCCCGAAGGTACTCCCCGATGAATGTTCTGTCGCCGTCCTTGTCTTACAATACTAGTCCTGGAAAGTCTCAGAACGCATATGCTTTTCCACCTGGGCCAAACAACTCTCGCCGGTCACCGACCAGAGCTCTGAACTACTCCTCACCCCCTCAGCCGTTCCAGTCGCCCCCTTGTAAGTCTTCTCATGATAGTCTTGGAAATAGCTCATGCTAACAGTTTGGTTGTGATAGCTGTGTCGCGTCCTCCTCGGCTTCCTCCGCTGCAGCCTACCGAGATGGGCTCCGACCAATTCTACCCGCCTTCAGCAGGATCTCAAGTCAACGCTCACTTTGGACAAGATGGGAGATCGCCCCGGTCGGGACCCATGTCTGGTGCAAGCAAGCAAGCCGGTCGAGGGCCAGTGCCGAAGTTTCAGAAGATCAAGTCGGTTCAGGAGCTTCAACCCCGCATTAATGCGCAGCCTCCCTACAGACGTGCCAATCCAGAGGGGGGTTTCATTAGTGTAAGTGTTCACCGACCGGCCAATACAGCTTGTTGCTAAATGAAGATACAGCCCCTTCAAGCGTTAACCTCCCATCTTCCGGCCACATACCGTATCTGCAATCCAAGCTTCAATTACGAGTCTTCGCGAAATCCCAGACGTGTCCTTACAAAACCAAGCAAGGGAGTCAAAAACGACGGCTATGACAATGAGGACAGCGATTATATTCTCTACGTGAACGACATTCTTGGAAGCGAAGAAGCTGGTCACAAGTGAGTGTTCTCAATTGACTCTTTCGCCGACGTTTTTAGGCCATCTGTATTGACATCTCTCTAAGGAATCGTTACCTCATCCTCGACGTGTTGGGCCAGGGGACATTTGGGCAAGTCGTCAAGTGCCAGAATCTGAAAACCCAAGAGGTTGTTGCCGTGAAGGTCATTAAGAATAAGACTGCATACTTCAATCAGAGTATGATGGAAGTCTCGGTCTTGGACTTGGTAAGACCTCCAAGATTCTTTCTTTGCTCGAAACATTCTTACGTTCCGCCTTGCAGCTTAATAGCAAATATGACAAGAACGACGACCACCATTTGCTTCGTTTGAAGGATACCTTCATTCATCGACAGCATCTCTGTCTGGTCTTTGAGCTGCTCAGTGTCAATCTTTATGAATTGATCAAGCAAAACCAGTTCCGTGGTTTGAGCACGACTCTGGTCCGTGTTTTTGCTCAGCAACTTCTCAACGCGTTGAGTCTCCTAAACAAGGCACATCTGATCCATTGTGATCTCAAGCCCGAGAACATATTACTGAAGAAGTGAGTAGCGACTTGTGTCTGAGGAGAAGCTCCTGGACTAACATCGATCTCCCATAGTCTTGAGAGTCCAATTATCAAGGTCATCGATTTCGGCTCTGCTTGCGATGAGCGACAAACTGTTTATACGTATATCCAGTCGAGATTCTACCGTTCCCCAGAGGTGTTGCTTGGCTTGCCGTACGTCCCCTATCTTCTTCGAACTGGCGTTAAACTAACTCGAGCAGTTACTCGTCTGCAATCGACATGTGGTCTCTTGGTTGCATCGTCGTCGAGCTCTTCCTTGGTCTGCCCCTTTTCCCTGGCTCCTCTGAATACAACCAGGTCTGTCGAATTGTGGAAATGCTCGGTCTACCCCCGACGTGGATGCTTGAAATGGGCAAGCAGTCGGGTGAATTCTTTGAGAAGACCCAAGACGAGTTCGGTCGCAAGACATACCGACTGAAAAGCCTGGAACAATACTCCCGGGAACATAACACGAAAGAGCAGCCGAGCAAAAAGTACTTCCAGGCATCCACGCTTGAAGAAATCATCCGAAGCTATCCAATGCCTAGGAAAAATATGAAGCAAGCCGAGATCGAGCGAGGTTCGTTTCTCCAGACAGCTACCTATTTTCACTCACTGACATCTTGTCCAGAACTGAACAATCGAGTTGCTTTCATCGACTTTGTTCGCGGACTGCTATCAATCAATCCCCTTGAGCGATGGTCGCCTCAGCAAGCCAAGCTTCACCCTTTCATTACGCAGCAGAAGTTTACAGGGCCCTTCGTGCCGCCGATGAATCTAAAATATTCGTCACTCAACAAAACCATTCCACCCGGAATACAGCAGCAACAGCAGGCTGAGGCTGCCAGCAAACAGCGAGCGGCTCAGGCGGCACATGCACAATCGGCGGCCCAGAATGCATACTCGATGCAGATGAATCAGTTCCATACACCATCTCATGGCCAGCCCCCGCCCATGTACAACGGCATGTTTACAGGCCATCAGCAAGGCGCMCCTCCTCCATATCCTGCCCAGCCGCCGGGCTACGGCCATCAAATGAACCTTATGGCAGGCCAGATGCCTCAATCGCAATATGCACCGTCTCAGAGCCTCTACGCTCAAGCAACCACTAGAGCTGGTCGCCAACGCGCATCCACCATGGATCATCAGGGAGGAGGAATTCCGCCAACTATTCAACGCGTTGCCAGTCACCTCGACCCCAATGCCCCCATTCGACTTCAGCCAAGCCCGGCATACTACCCTCCACCCCCTGACGGATATGTCGACAACAATGCTCAGCGACGCCGGGGAAGCCGTGCAGGAGCCGGCCAACGTAACCGAGACTTCATTCGGACTCTCGAGGACGGTGTCCTTGGCGGCGACAGCTATATGAACCAGAGCCAGTGGCACTGATCAGGCAAAGATCCAAACAGTCAGTCAATACTGGTTGTTATCTGGAACATGAGCTTGCTACTTTCTACCGTCAACTCTGCTTTGTTCGAGCGAGAGTGTGCTCCAGGTGCGTCTTACAATTTTAGGCGCAGAGCTACTCCAAGATATCTTCCTACATCGTTTGGAACGTACCGTGCTCGATCTTTCCTTCCCGTGCCCTTCGGTCTGCGGCGGCTCTTACGACTTCAGCCAGTTTCATCATGTCAACAACGCCAGCCCCAAGGGCATCTCCTGAGACTACTTGTTAAAGGCTACATCTTCAGTTCGAAAAGTGGTCCGAGCAGAAGGAGACGAAGTTATATTGTAACATCAAGGCCCTTCGCCATGACGAGATAGCCTCTGAGTCTAGGAGGCGGATATATTCGCCAGTCTAGAGCGTGGCTTTCCACCGTACATGCGGCCCATTTTATTATAGTCGAGCTTCCTGATCCGGTTGCTTTTACCCTCACTGAGCAATCTTCCCCAACGAGATCATCGTGTACCATGCCCGGACGTTGGTCATGAGCCGCATGACGTGGATTTTTGCGAAGATTGTTTTTTCTCCCGCCTCACCATCGTGTTAAATTTTCTCTTTTCCATTTCTCATTGCTATCTTTGTGGCGAGGCCAATTTCTATTCCCCTGTTGTCATTTGATGTTGTCTGTCTCTTGCTTCCTTACACCGCTGCTCAACAGAGCCATTGCTATAGCTTGGATACCTAAATTTAGAAAGTCAAAGTTCGATGGATATCGGAGAACGCACATAGTTCTTGATCCAGACTAGTGGCTGTTGTGTCTAAATGAGTCAGAGTCCAAAATTGTTAGCTTAGGCCGTGCATGCCTGTAGTGGTTGAACTGTTTGAATGCAGTAAAACATGGATGGCGTTCGGGATAGTTGTGCAATCGGCTGTTGTATTGCTTGCGATGAGACTAATATGAGGACGTCCCGTCTGCATTTCGGAAGCCTCCAAAACATTGATATAAACTCAAGAGAGCGTTAAAGAACTAAAGGTATCATTGGTTGTGAGGCTATTCAGATCCAAAGACTCGCGGGGAAAAGGCAGTGCAAACAGGGCAAACTGCCATATACGGTTAGGTGCCGGCTCGCTTAAATTTCGTGTGTGGCTCGCGCGGCCAAACTCGCTGCGGCTAGGAACCCTCACTTCACAACTGAATTTGCCATCAGGCACGGGCAAACAGATCAAGAGGGCCGTTAACTCTGTCCACCACATTATCACCCCGCGCGTCCTGTCCGGCATCAGCAGATACGGCCAATCTGTGAACAAGTTCGCGAACCCCATTTTCCGTCCGATAACCCCTCGAACCGCAAACATGTCGCGTTTCTTTTACGGCGGTGGTAGCGACAGCGAGTCCAGCTCGTCTGACGAGGAGGAGCTTTACAGCGACCGCGAGGAGGAGGAAAAGTCCGAGGAGGAAGAATCCAGCGAGGAGGAAGAGGAGACCTCGGAGGAGGAGGATGAGTCCGACAAGGAAACGGGTGCGAATAAATTTTTGAAGGATGTTGCTTCCGACAGCGAGGAGGAGGAAGAGGAGGAGAAAGTCACGGTTGTCAAGAGTGCCAAGGATAAGAGATTGGACGAGCTTGAGAACACGATCAAGCTGATTGAGAACGCCAAGAAGATCAACGACTGGGCTGTTATCTCGACAGGTGCGTTTTGTTCCTTTCACATGCCGCTATCTATGTGGAGACGGGAATAGGGAGGCGGGTTGAATGTGTGAGATGGGCTGACATGGTATTACAGAGTTCGACAAGCTGAACCGACAGCTTGTGAAGATCACGCAATCTGGTCCGACTCCCAAGATTTACATCAAGACCGCTGCCGACCTTGAGGATTTCGTGAACGAGACTATTGCCAAGCAGAAGTCCGGAGATAAGAAGCTGAACGCCAGCCAGGCCAAGGGCTTCAACGCTGCCAAGCAGCGCATCAAGAAGAATAACAAGGACTACGCCAACCTGATCAACAAGTACCGGAAGGACAAGGAGGACTTCATGGAAAGCGACGATGAGGAGGCCGCCCCTGTTGTTGCTGCTCCCCGTATCACCAAGTTGGAGCGTATTGAGGCTCCCGCCGTTGCTGTCGATGATGATGGCTTCGCAACTGTTGGCCGCGGTGGCAAGACCCTGCAGTACACTCCTGAGAGCATCCTGAAGCACCTCCGTGTCATCGTCGAGTCGCGAGGAAAGAAGAACACAGACCGCCTGGAGCAGATTCGGACGATGGAAAAGCTTCTGGAAGTGGCTCAGACTCCTTATCAGCGCATCCGTGTTTATCTTACTCTCATTTCCACGCGTTTCGACCTCACATCCACGTCCACTGCCAATTACATGGCTGTCGATCAGTGGAAGTCCGCCGAGCAGGACTTCTCGTCCCTGCTGTCGGTTTTGGAGAACAACCGTGACCACGTTGTGACCGAAGGTGCCGATGAATGGGAAGATGACGAGAAGCAACCCACCATCGCCCCTGGCGAGACTCTCTACATTCCCGGTAGCATCGTGTCTTTCGCCGAGAGACTCGATGACGAGCTTACTAGGTCACTGCAACACATCGACCCCCACACCGCCGAGTACATTGAGCGTCTGAGCGATGAGAAGCTGCTGTACACCGATCTCGTTCGCGCGCAAGCCTACGTCGAAGGTTTGAACGAAGCCGAAAAGAGCGATCCTAGACAGGACAGTGTCAACCGGGTGGTCATGAGACGGTTGGAGCACGTCTACTTCAAGCCCTCCCAGGTTATCACAATTCTGGAAGAGGCCACATGGAAGGCTCTTCCCTCTGAGCTGGATTCTGGCATTACCCCTCGGGCTAGCAGTGGCAATGTCGAGAACCTCGTTTTGTCCCTCTGCAACTATCTGTTCAAGTACAGCGATGGTATCATCAGAGCCCGCGCGATGCTGTGCCAGATTTACTTCCTTGCCCTGCACGACCAGTACTACCGCTCTCGTGATCTGATGCTCATGTCTCATCTCACTGAGAACATTTCCAACTTTGACGTCAGCACTCAGATTCTCTTCAACCGGACGCTGGTGCAAATTGGTCTTTGCGCCTTCCGCTCCGGTCTCATCTACGAAGCTCAGAACACCCTTTCTGAAGTCTGCGGCAGTGGACGTCAAAAGGAGCTCCTGGCCCAGGGTATCATTATGCAGCGCTACTCGACGGTATCCCCGGAGCAGGAGCGTCTTGAGCGTCAGCGCCAGCTGCCGTTCCACATGCACATCAACCTGGAGCTGCTCGAGTGCATCTACCTCACCTCCAGCATGTTCCTGGAAGTTCCTCTGATGGCCCAGACTTCCTCTTCTCCCGAGATGAAGCGCCGTGTCATTTCCAAGACCTTCCGCCGTATGCTGGATTACAATGAGCGCCAGGTCTTCACTGGTCCCGCGGAGAATACTCGTGACGGCGTGATTATGAGCGCCAAGTTCCTTGCCGCTGGTGACTGGAAGAAGGCTGCCGAGATGCTCAACTCGATCAAGATCTGGGATCTGATGCCCCAGCCCGACAAGATCAAGGAGATGCTTTCCCAGCAGATCCAGGAGGAGGGCCTGAGAACCTACCTCTTCACCTACGCTCCTTTCTACGACAGCCTCTCCATCGCCACCCTCTCCAACATGTTCGAGCTTTCTGAGAAGAAGATTTCCGCCATTATCAGCCGTATGATTTCGCACGAAGAGCTGGGTGCTGCTTTGGATCAGGTCAACAACGCCATCGTTTTCCGCAAGGGCGTCGAGCTGTCGCGCCTCCAGTCCCAGATCGTCACTCTGGCCGACAAGTCCATGAACCTCCTGGAAGCCAACGAGAAGACTCTCGAGCAGCGCACCCAAGGTATGGCCAACGCCTTCCAGCGCGATCAGGGCGCCGGCGCCCGTGGTGGCCGTGGTGGCCGTGGAGGTCAGGCCCGCGGTGGCCACAGATTCCCCGGTGGCCAGCAAGGCCGTCGTCCTGGTGGACAGCAATTCGGCGGTGGTGCATTGGGCGGTGCTATCAAGGCTTAAAAAAGATTGTTTATAATGGCATCCTGTTTCTTTCTCTCATGGTCTAATGCCCCTTTCTGGGAATACAAATGCGTATGAAATTCTGTCTGCTTCTGTTCCATTACGGCCCCTGGTCGACAACACTTCGCTGTCGATCTATCTCCATGTTATCATCTTATGTATGCCCTATTTTCATATTCTACAGATGGTTCGATGTCTAGACTGAATGAGAACAGAGAGGAAATCTTGGTTAAATGGTGTTCTTCCATAGTAGCGATGATTTAGTCATATTTTGAGTAGTGTGAACTGCTTCGTCGCCTCTGAATAGCAATATATATCATGGGACAGGCATGACTGCCTGCCAGTAATTGCAGCAGAACTATATAAATTGCAGATGAGGAGACGTGAAAGCATTTGCTTCTCTCTTCATATCATGAGGGGCAGTCCTTGTATACATACATACATACATATATATATATATATAGCCGCTATTGAAGCTATTCAGATGCACGCATAGCACATGTGCGATGCGGGACTGAGTTGTGAGCATGAACCGGCAGGCATGCTTCAACAGTGGTCGCCGATACAGGTTTCTCCATTCCTAATCGAATCCGCATATTGCCTCGAGCAGCCCATGGCTTGAAGGGGCGGCAACCAGGTCGTTGACATGTTGCGTTGGAGCAGAAGCGAGGCGAGCAGGCTATCCAGCCCGACGTTGCTTGACCGCCATCGGCCAGAGGAAAGTTTGTTTTAGTGATAAATGAACCGTCTCCGCGTATAGGGAATATCATCCGCTGTCATCAAGGAGATTCTGGGGCGACCAGTATTCATTCTCTTCGCCCTGCGCGTCCACCCAAACTAGGCCGTCCGCTACAAGGTCATTAATGACAGTTTGTGCGCGGGCCTTTTCCCAGTTCAAGTTCACTTGCAACATGGATACGCTGACATAGCCCAATATCTGAATTGCCTCTAGGACTGTGGCTTGATCTGTGTTCAGCTCCTTGGGAATAGAGCGGATGTATTGCTTGCTCCCTACTTGCACAATGGAGAAGCCGGACCCAAGGGGCCCCAGTGATTTCACAGCGCGGAGAACATCGTCACTGTACACCAAAATACAGTTAGCACAGTCCGAATGCATGGAAAAGAGGTTGAAGCCGTACTCAGTGACCTCCAAGCCGCTCCCGATGGCTTTGCCTTTGCGAACCTGTTTCCGACACTCTTCAACACCTAGCAAGCCTCCATTCTCGCTTCTGGTAGATCGACAGAGCTCTACAACTCGGACTGCAACCTCAAAGTAGAAATCATTCATATCACCGCCCATAATCTGCGTCCAGAAACTACCGCTTTCTCCCCTCCTGCCATTTTTCCCCTTGACATTACTGGCTGCAAGAGGATCAACCCCGATAGCATTGCACATACGAGCAAATTCAGCTCGGAATGTCGGATTCGACTTGATCGTTGAACTATGTTCTAGTGCGAACGTGTGAAGCAACGACTGGAATACGGAAAGTTGTGTTTGGAGGGAGGCAAGGTGCGCAGAGCGAAGGTTGGCGCCATGGTTGGCATAGGATTGACTGGTTTGCGTGCGATTCGCAAACGCTCCGAGTCCGACACCTCGACGAGTCGACATTATGATTAACGGTATTGATGTCTCCTGGGGAATAAGTCATGCCGCGGGGTACATGTAGATGAGCCGTAAGATGTTATGGTTAGATCGTTATCTGGTAGGTCATGTGATACCATTCCCCGATAGATAAGGGTAATGTTCGACTAAAAGGGGAAGGATGAGAAGCCCCATTGCACTAGCCTCGTTTAGGCTAGCGCGTTTGATCCACCCACACAACCGATTTTCTCTTCAATTGATTTTCTTGCTCGAACTTTTTCTCATCCCGACAACCTTCGCCAACCGCCCAACTCGCGAATCAACGGACCGTCGCAATGGCCTCGTCTGCTACGTATGATACCCTTTGATTGATTCCTATCGGCAGTTTCGCTTTGCGAGCCCGTAAGGTTTCAGTTAATAGTCGTCCTTCTCGCTGGAGATGCTGCGATCAATTTTGGTCGCTGGGCACCAGCTCGATTTTTCCCGTGGCCTTCTCTCCAACACGAGCTCTCCTCCCATTTGAACACTGGAAGCATAGAGCCTGGATGATGAATGGTCTGGGGTATTGAGGTTGAAAGCGTCGTTGGCCTTCTCCTTGAAAAGCATTGTTGTGAGCTATCGTGCCCTCCGACGATCTTGAAAACAGATTGTCAGGAATCGGTGCGAACAGCGACAACATAACTTCCTGAGCGCAATGCTTGGGGTTTTGTCGGCTGAGGATAATGGCTTGCCATCCTTCTGAATTGTGAACGTCAGGCTGAGAATGCTGCGACTAGTAGCAGAATTTAGTTTTGGGTTTCAGTGCAACGCCATGCCTCACCGATCAAATGGATGTCGTCGAGTTTTCTATATATCTGCCTTCAGTTGAGAATGTGGCACTATAGCTGCAATTCTTACACTCGGCGAATACTTGCTTTCGTTTGATTGCATGGACAGACTATACTGACCTCAAACCAGCACCGTCCCCACCCAGGACCAGGTCCTCGTCCCTGAGACCCTCCTGAAGAAGCGCAAGAGCCAGGAGCAGGCTCGCGCTGTTGCCCGCGAGGAGGCTCAGAAGAAGAAGGAGGTTAGTTTTTTTGCAATTTTCTTACCTGCTTCTCAACCTATTCAATTGTGTGATGATACATTTTCCACTTACGCGACTAGACCTTCGGGTCGATGCTGTCGCTTCGTTAACCATCTTTCGGGGCTGACAATACCTTTTCCATTGATTTGTTTTACGATTTGTTTGGAAAGGCATGCCGCTAACTTGCAAATTTCAGGCCAACAAGAAGAAGCGTGAAGCTATCTTCAAGCGTGCTGAGGCCTACGTCAAGGAGTACCGCGATGCTGAGCGTGAGAAGATCCGCCTTGCTCGCGTTGCTCGCCAGCAGGGTAACTTCTACGTCCCTGACGAGCCCAAGCTGGTCTTCGTTGTCCGTATCAAGGGGTATGTTTCACTTGACCCTTCAGTTACCGTACCGTGGTGCTAATATAAATCTGCAGTATCAACAAGATTGCTCCTCAGCCCCGCAAGATCCTGCAGCTTCTCCGTCTGGTCCAGATCAACAACGGTACCTTCATCCGCCTCACCAAGGCTACCCAGGAGATGTTGACCATCATCAACCCCTACATCGCTTACGGTTACCCCAACCTCAAGAGCGTCCGTGAGCTCATCTACAAGCGCGGTTACGGAAAGGTCAACAAGCAGCGTGTCCCTCTCACCGACAACCAGGTCATTGAGGAGTCCCTTGGCAAGTACGGCATTGTCTGCATGGAGGATCTGATCCACGAGATCTACACTGTTGGCCCCAACTTCAAGCAGGCCAACAACTTCCTCTGGCCCTTCAAGCTCTCCAACCCCACTGGTGGCTTCCGCACCCGCAAGTTCAAGCACTTCATCGAGGGTGGTGACCTCGGTAACCGTGAGGAGAACATCAATGCTCTCATCAGACAGATGAACTAGATGCAGTCATCTACATGGTGGTTCTCTATCCTGGGTTGTTTGGTTCACATGGTCTGTTCTCGATTAGCGTATAATGGTCTATGATTCTCGGGTACAAAAATGGAAAATTTCAAGCAACCCATAACCTCTAGTCATGATTTATCGTAAAGTAGGTCGTAGACAGTTTTACGCATAGCCTGCCCCTGCTTTGGCTTCCCTGGATATAAAGTCTACGTCCTAGCTTGCTGTATGCGTCGCGGGCCTTCTGTGCTTTCCATACAATCCGAATCGAGTTGCAACCTACGCTTTGGGTCATGTAGCTTCAACCTCCAACTCACCCTTTCTTGGTTAATTTGACAAGTCCTAGGCAGCTTAGACTAGATTTCCATATCTAGACGTTTACGAACTGTTCTATAGACAGTTGCGCGCATGCCTCCTGGTATGTATATATGTACATTTTTGTGGCCGCATATACCCCCTTCCTTCAGTCGTCCTTGCGAGAGCAAACCCACTTCGATCCACGTCCAAGCCCATAGCCGAGTAATTAAATCTCAATGACTTCTTGCACCCTTCTCTCCTTATTGACAATAAGACGGAGCTGTCTGCCTTGCCACTCGGTGCTTGTTGAGTTCGAAGCAGGCTTGAAGGCCCCTTCTCGAAGTGCCTCACTGAACAGTTCGTAAGAGGGGTAGTCTGCCATATATTAACTGATGCTCGTCCGCCAATTCGATATACGTACAGCCGTCCACAAAGTGAGACACCTGCTCCTCAGTCATGCCGGTCCCTTTGGTTGCACGCAGCGTTCTTTCCTGTTCCTGTCTCCAATCGTAGACAAAGTGGAGATCTTGCGCATCGCTTGGAGATTTTTAGCAAGCGAGCATTAATATGATATCGAGTAGTGGGAACTCACATATGGACCAATGCGTCGAGCCGACTGCATTCGAGCAGTTAATATCAGCATCTAGAGCGATCTAATAGAGCAAGGGTACGAACTCGGTCAATACATCATACTTCCTCAAGGCGTCATTGACGGCCTTGACATCTTCAAACTTCACATGCCCTAAGCGGCCATTATAATCACCCTGGTCTTTCTGGCGGACTGCGGCCTCCCACTTCTCCCTGAGGACTCCATCATCCAAAGCACGGAAGCCAACACACCAGCCTTCGAAGATGACCACTTTGATTTTCTCTTGTCCGTCGCCGTTGACCGTCTCCCATTGGCTTTCAGGTACACGATCGCCCTGTCCCGAATAAGCGGACTTGTCATATTGCGGGATAGCGGTAGGACGGCCGGCACGGAGAGACTCGAAGACTTTTTCAGCAAGAGGCAGATCATGGGTCGCCGGTTGGCCGCGATGCTGGAGAAGAGGGTTGGAAGGAAAGGATCTCGCTAGTGTTTGTTGTTGCTCATGGGTGAGGTAGAAATCATCCAGGGAGATCGTGACGACCGGGAGGGAATATGGAGGTGCCCGAAGAGTTGATTGAAGATTCGAGACCTGGCGTTTACCTCTGGCTCAGTATACAGATCAAGGGAATACTTCTGAGCGATTCGAGTAGCTCACTCACCAGCACAGTCTTTCCTGCTCCCTGGACACCGTTGAGTCCTAGGAAGAATGGCGGGGTATTGTTTGGGTCATTCCCATAGCGTGCCTGGTGGGCTTTCAACCGCTTCAGCAGGAACGGGATGCAGTATTGAGATTTATCATCGATGATTTCAGGCATTTTGCAAGAACTTCTGACGATCTAGGTGCTGTGGTTGTCTACTATGACTACTTCGGTATTGTGATGCTATATATTATTTGTTCTCTCGGACGAGAGCCGACCGAAACCTGGGGTAGTCGAACTTCCCCGAGGGGATAAGATTGTGCCTGAATGACTTTCCGCATCTGAACAAAGTGATCTAGAAGACTCTTTTGGGAATTGCTTTACGATCCTGACCATATTCGCTGTCTAACAATTCGAAGACCAGGAGTTTATACAAACCATTAGGGATACACCCCGCGTGTCCCACGTGACAATGACGTCCAGCACATGCTCGCTGAGTCAGCAGATGGTCCCTCTGAGCTCTTCTGCCACTAAGATCGCAAGGAAATACATCCTTAAAGAATGATGCAAATGTAGAAAACGAGCATTGAGCATGTGGAAGAGGACGGAGCAGCTAGTAGAAAAATAGAAATACAACAAACGTCTCATGACTAGAGCATCGGCATGTGAAAACGTATCATCTGCCTAGCCAAATCCGCTTTGGCGTCTAGCAGCGGAACCTCCGAGCTTCACTGTGGAAGATACCGAGGTTCCTTTGGAGCTTGCCGAGCGTTGCGACCGTCTTCACCTTTATCCACCTCACCTCTTCCCCCAGATTCAGTTCCGGTCTCCTACGGTATCCCCGGCTCCCCAGAATTTCTTCCTTTTAAACCTCACTATCATCCCTCTGACGAATCGTCTTTTGAGTCCTTTGTCCCCTTTCTTCTCTCCTCCCTTGAACAGAACTGTGTGCTGAGTGCACCACCGTATTTGATCTTCTAGATACCCTCACTTTCCTTTCCTTCTACATTATCCAATATGTCTGAGCTGCGCTTTGACAACCAGACTGTCGTTGTTACAGGAGCTGGTGGTGGTCTTGGAAAGGCCTACGCTACCTTCTTCGCTTCCAGAGGTGCCAATGTCGTTGTAAACGATCTGGGTGTTTCCCACTCCGGTGAGGGGGCGTCATCAAAGGTACGAGGGATCATTTACCAAAGACGGTGGTTTATGACAGCTACTAACTTAATTTTACGTAGGCTGCTGATGTAGTAGTTGAGGAGATCCGAGCGGCTGGCGGCAAGGCAGTAGCCAACTATGACAGCGTCGAGAACGGTGAAGCTATCATTGAGACTGCCATCAAGAACTTCGGCCGGATCGATGTTCTCATCAACAACGCTGGTATCCTCCGTGATGTCAGCTTCAAGAACATGAAGGATCAGGATTGGGATCTGATCAACAAAGTTCACACCTATGGCGCATACAAGGTTAGCATAGCAACTATCAAGTTCGTTCTGTTTGCCCGGGTATTGACCATGATTCTCCTGTTCAGTGCGCAAGAGCAGCATGGCCTCACTTC